TCAGGTCCTCCTCTCAGGGTTCTTTCTCATTTCCCGCCTCCCCTGCACTTAGACCGGCCCCAGGGACTGACCCTAGGACTGTGGATGGGAGTGACAGTGCCGCTGTGCCCGAAGGCCGTGAGGGACAGTTCGGAGTCCTCTCTGCCAGCAGTGACCTGAGGTGGCAGAACTGCAAGGAGGACGCTGCTGGACCCTTGGCCACCCTTAGAACCGCCTGGTGCATCACGCCGGGGCACCATGGACAGTAACGCTCGTCAATTACTGAGCTGTCACGGTTCCTCACCTCAGCCTACCTAGTGCCTCCCTTCCAGGAGTATTTCATTTAAGCGGAGATTCTAGGGAATGGGCAGTGCTAAACACGACGGAAGGAACTTCTCCTAGTGGAACTGTGATGCGGATGTGACCACAGCCGTTGCGGCAGCATCTGCGGAAAAAGAGATGGCCTCAGGGAGCCTTCTGGGTACCATGGAAACCCGGGCTGCAGGCTCCTACGCTGCCTGGCTCCAGAAAGGGAAATTTTGAGACATTCTTCTTTCAGGCAGAGAGTCTCCAAGTCAAGTTTCCAGACAGAGGCCAACCAAGGGAACCTGTTTTCTAGAATGGTCTTGGAAAAGTGGTCACCTGGTGCCAGAGATAGAAATCCCTTTTCCTTCCTGCCCCAACTCGTATTGTCAATTATTAAAACACCTAGTTGGCCCTCTCCCAAAATCACACGAGGGCCCAGAAAATTGGATGACTTGGAACCATTTAAGAATTCACTGGGAAATAAATCTGGGGCCTGGCTGGCATGACTCGGTGGTTGAGTGTTGACCTATGAACCAGGAGGTCACATTTCAGTTCGATTCCCGGTCAGGGCATATGCCCAGGTTGTGGGCTCGATCCCCAGTGTGGGGTGTGCAGGAGGCAGCTGGTCAATGATTCTCATCATTGATGTTTCTATCTCTCCCTCTTCCTTTCTCTCTGAAATCAATAAAAATATATTTTAAAAAACCAGAAAATGATTCTGGGAACTTTTTGGAAATATGACAGGATGACAACCATGTGCAGCTGGTGAGTGAAGCTGGCCCTGGCATGCCTGCCTTTCGGGGAAAGACCTCCCACAGAGCCCTCGGGTTTCGAGGATTACTCAGATGGTCGCAAGTGTGGACTAGGGATCGGCTGTCAGCAGCAGGCCAAGTACTGACCTGGAGCCTGCCCTGAAGTTCCATGTTAGAAAAAGTGTCCCCCACAGCATGGCTCCCAGGAAGAACAAGCTAGCAGCAAGGCACCCCATCTGACTGCACTTTCTTGTCACTCTTGCCCCAAACCAGACATGCCGGGTTTGGGACGTGGCCAGGGGGGAGGGTCCCTCCGGACTCTGCCGCTGCTTCTCCCTCTGCTCCCCGCACCGAGCCCGCGTGGGCATCCAGAGAGCCTACTGACACATCTGGGACCCGGACCCCGCCTCAGTGATACTCCAGATACAATCCCTCTGGGGCTGGCAGCACATGCCAACCAAGTCCCAACCAGTTTATTAGTTTAACCAAAAGGTAAACAGACGATGGAGATGCAGAGAGACAAGCATGCGAGCAGCTAAAGGCATGGCCCGGCTGTCCACCAGGAAACAAGTTTAAGACATTTCAAGTGGCATTAAATAAATGAGGCTACGTATTATCTACTTGGAACTTCCATGGTCTTTTAAAAAAGGAAAATATATTTGTACATTGCGGTATATAAATCTAGACTCTACATGTACAGTATAAATACACAGGGCGAGCACATGGGCACACGTGTCCCGGTAGCTGCACTCGAAACGAGGCCGGCAGTTCTCTACTTCCTCTTTGACCTCCAGACCAAGAAACCCAGGCGGAGGCTGCGTTGACTCCAGTGTCCATGCTGTCCAGCACCCTGGCCATCTCCTCCCGGCACAGGGGCGCGATGGGACAAGCCTCCCAATCAGAAGAAAGTGCTTTCGATCAGCTGGAACCCGGTCGGTCCTTGCGATGCATGGACTGGTCTTGTAGGAAGGTCTAGAGCAGTGGTTCTCAACCTTCCTAATGCCGCGACCCTTTAATACAGTTCCTCATGTGGTGACACCCAATTTCATTGTTATAAATTGAACATAAGGAAATCAGTGAGTAATCACAAAAACAATATGTAATTATATATGTGTTTTCCGATGGTCTTAGGTGACCCCTGTGAAAGGATCGTTCGACCCCCAAAGGGGTCGCGACCCACAGGTTGAGAACCGCTGGTCTAGAGGAATGGTGACGCCTTCCCGGCTCATTCTTTGGTCCACTGCCCCCGTCTGTCTCTACACTTTTTCTGGTGTTTCTTGCAGATTTCATAGCCATTTACATAGCATAAATCTCACATAACCTTTGGGAGCCATCTTACAGGATTAGGAAAAAAAATGAAGCTCCGTACTACAATCTACACTTCATGTGTGGTTTTGTTCTCTTTATTTTTGGAATGAAATCTGGTATTTTGAGAAATTATTTTTAAAAAGGACAACATTCTGAAAGTGCTTCTTACACGTCAACATCTCAAATATGGCTTTTTAGTTCAAACCCCAGCACAGCTCAGATTTGGAAGGGAGAGGTTGATGGTGTTACTAGAGACCAAAAAAAAAAAA